TTACACAAAATAAATATTTATAGAAAAAGTAAAAACAAAAATCTGCGCAGATGAACGACTCAAGTTTTATTGTTAAATTATTAATTGAGTTTACCACGACCGTGTAATTTTTGCGCTTAACGATCTTTTTGTATTTTTAAAATTTCAGAACTGATACACTCATATTCATATATTCATAGTTGACCCACGTAGACGTAGGGAGAACAATAGCTAATTACCTTATTATTAATGATTAATTCGATTTTGACCCGTACATTCGTGTGGATATTTTTCATTTTATGAATGTATAATTTTGATGTTATTATAAATGTTTTAAATATATAAATTTTATTTTATTGTTAGATTTTGTGTGACACTCTTTTGTCTAAATAACATAGACATATTATTTTAGTGAACTGTATATGTAATAGCATCTATCATATAATTTTAATAATTTTATTGATATATAATATATTTTTGGATGTTATAATATTAAGTTTTTTTAATAATTAAATTAAGATTTCAAAATTTAAAATTACTTTAATTTTTACAGTATTAGTTTGTTTTTCGTGTTACATTTCAAGAAGTTATTATTTATTCTATGATTCTCTCTTTTGCCAAATTTGAAATATTATCATTCAAAGATTGAATATTTATTTTTAAAATTTTATATTTTGTCAAAAACAATTTTCAAAATTACATAACTATTTTTTAGTTGGAAGATAATATGATTTTATTTGTTTACTACATGTTATAAAATAAAATTTTGGTTTTTATATATTTCTCAACATATTTGTTATAACTGATATAAATATTAAATTTATAATTAAAATTTGATTTGTCATTTATATTTTAAACTAACTATTAAAATTTCATAGTTGTAAAATAACATATTATTAAATAGTATACGAACTAAGGGTTAGTTATAAACTATTGTATTTAATTTTTTTTTTATTTTTAAACAAAATACTGTTGAGAATTTCCAATGAACAAAAAGGAAATATGTAGTTGTAGATATAAATGTTTAAGATATGTTAACTTTCTATAGTTTACTAATTTAACACGTTTTAATGATGAGTGATATTTTATTTAAGTGAGAATATTTTAAATTAAAATATCAATTTACTTATTCAATATACTTTTGTCATATTTAATTCATATAGAAGTTGTATGTTAATGTAATATAGAATATAAGTTAAAAACATAAAATAGTATAGAGTTTTTATTTCTTGTTTTATAATTAATTTTTAATTAACATTGATTAATAATATTATATTCCTAATTACGAAAATAATTATGTATTAGTTTTGTAAAAAAAAATTAAAGAGCTGTAGGATTTTGTTAGATTCTTTTTCAACATAATTTGTTACAATTAAACATTAAATTCAAATTAAATTTAGTTTATTATTAATGTAAATAATCAAATATATCATATTAACTAAATCTTTAGGTGGTCCAAGAATTATTATCAATGTATAATAATAAAACTATAAATTAGTAGATTAAATTTAATATATTTTTGTAATATGTTTTTGAGAGTTATAAAATAAATAAATAGATAATATTTAGTTGTAAATAGAAATGTTTAACCTATGTTAATAAATATATTTTTCTATAAAAATATTATAAATCTTACAAATTTTAACACATTTTCAAGATGAGTGATATTTCTTTAAATGAAACTATTTAAAAAGGTTCATTTACCTATATAATATAATTAGTCATATTTATTTCATATAGCATTTTTATTTTAATATAATATAGATTATAATTATAAACTTTATAATAATAGGATATAAAGTTTTACTTAATTTAATTTTAGAACAAATTTTAATTAACATTAAATGATAATATTATATTATAATTACAAATTTAATTAATGTGCTTATTATAAAAATATTTAATATTAGTAGGATTTTGTTAGATTCTTTATCAACAGATTTTGTTATAATTAAAATTTAAAATTTAAAATTATAGTTCGTTTATTATTAATGTAAATAATCAAATATGTCATATTAACTAATTCTTTAGATGGTCCTATTATAACTTGTTAACATTAGATAAAATAGAACTATGTTTTAATATGTAGTTGTAGATATAAGTGATTAACCTATGTTAATACATGTTTGTCGACACTTAGCTGTTCCATTTGGTTCCTATCTATTTACATAGTTAACTAGATCTTGATCCGCATGTTATTTCTCGATTGATAAAAATATCTGATATGAATTAATATTTTAGTATTGTTAAATTATTATTATTATTATTATGTTGCAAAATCATATTATATTAAAAAATAAAATTATTATTTTATTTAATTAGTTAATGTAATTATATTTTTAATTGTTTTATCATTATTATTATTTTTAAATTGTATAGTTTGATCATACTCATCATATCTATTATTTTAGAATAAATTATTTTAAATTAGATGAAAACAATATTCTTATATCAAGTTCGGACATGTGGCCGAACTAATAAACACGATGACTTATACATAAGCTGGTTTATATTTAATGAAAGCTCATTAATTTAAAGTACGCAAAATTTGAAAAAACCTCGCAATCAAGTGTGACCTAACATTTGGTTGACCTGGTAAGAAAAACAAATAATCTTAACTTGTAATATATTTTTAAATTTATGACTTTTTATTTACTTAAGTGTTTAAAATTTATTTTTAATTAGTTCTTTTATGTGAAATATTTGATTTGATATAAATATATGATATTTTGGAATTTTAGTAAGATTATATATACATTCTATAAAAGTCAGTTAAGATTATATATACACTATATATACATTATTTAAATTTCATCATCAATTTTCATTAATAATAATTGGGTTTATATGCTATGAGTTTCCAGCTGGTAAAATAGGTAGCGCTTATCAATAATGCATTCTTTTAGAATATTACTGAATCTATATGTAAAAATGAATGGCTATATATTGATATAAGTTTGTATAAAAAGAATATTTCAGATGTTATAAATCGTACTCAAACACTTATCTACAAAATAATATAAATATATATGGTATGATAAAGGTTGTCTTAAAAACCTATATTTTATACAACTACATAGAATTAAATAATGACATTTTATATTATTATGTAGTACTATATTAAAATGCAATATTGTTTTGTGAAATTTTCATTTACAAAGAATAAGATAAAAAAAATTCTACAAAATATTTCTTTTATAAAAAAAATCCATTACCAAATTCATAGAATCTGTTTTTATATTCAAAAATATAATTTTATATTCAGTTTCCTAAAAATTGAGAAGTAATTAATGATTTCATTAAAACTATTGTATAGTTAGAGAAAAATAAAGGTAGGACAGGAAATAATAAATATGTCCAAACAACTTGTGTAAGTAGATTTTTTTATGACTCTTCTCTTTTAATAGTATAGTTAAACTTGTAATACACAAAGTTGACAAAATGTAAATTTGTAACATACACGGCGTAATTTGAAGGGCTTCCCAAATTGCAAAGCATCCAATTTTCCAAATACAGGTAACCGCTAAAACAACACGTAGTTCACTTCCTTTGCAGTAAACGACAAGGTGTGTAAAAGGTGCATTGAATTAGGGAAGGGTAATTCAGTAAATGAATGGTGCTGAAACGCCTTGGAGTTGTGGGGACGTCATCTTCTAATAATAGCTAGTGGGAAAGAGTGACTTCTGTCTACCAACAAACTCATTTATTGCCTTCAATTTTTATTTATTTATTTATTTAAATGTGCCATTTTAAACGACAACATCAAAATTCCAAATTCAGAATTTTATTATATTTATTTATTTTCATTTAGCTTTTTAGGTCCAGTGAATGATTATTTAAGTAATTTGGAAACAAAGTTTCAGACAGTGAATCATGTCTTAATTTTTGATCTTAGCACATTTTGAAAGTATGCATCATTTTGTTATTGTTTTTTCCTAAACATCTGAGTGTACTTCAGAATCAATACTCCCTCTGTTTTCTTTTATTTGACGTTATAGTAACCTTCACGCATATTAATGTAGCTAGTACAATATCATTTCTATCCTTCATTAATTGAACAACTTGTATCGTATAGCATACTATATGAATACATTTAATATAGGGTAAATATGGTCTTTTGTCACTATAATTTACCTTGGGTTCTGTAAAACGTCAATTATATTGGAACAAAAGAATTGCTCTAAAACGTCAGTTAAATAAAAACGGAGGGAGTATAAAAGGATCAATATATCAATATAAGAAACTGAACATTACAATCTTAATTACTACTTTATTATAACTATAAATTCTGAAAGCCACACAACTTCTTTGTTTAAAGCAATTTGTTAATACTATTAAAGAAGAAATCAATAGTCAAATATCTGGAGACAAATATTTGTAGTATAGTATTACTTGCAAGAGATTATTATTGATTGTATGATTAACCTGAATAAGAATGCTTATTTACTTTACAACTAGTTTAATGAAGTCTTTATTTGCCTGAGTCTCATTTCAATATCACTGAAATAATTGTCGGTTTAGTTTACAAATTACTATTATTAACTAATATAACTGAATAGAAAAGATAAAACATATATATTTTAAAATTAAAAAAAAACTTGGAGGCACAAATTTTAGACTATTTTCTTGTAAGGTTCACATTACGAGCAAGAAGTGTTTCGAAAAAAATGTTTTAAGAAAAGACTATTTTCTTTTAAGGAAAAATCAAGAAAGAGAGATTAAAATAATTTTTAAAATTTTCAATTAAATTTAGCCTAAAATTATTGATTTTCTTCAATACAGAAAATCCATTTCTTCCAAGCTTTAAACTCATATTACAGTAGAAAACAATTACCTTTTTTCTTTTTTCCCACAAATTATATTTTCTTTTCTTGTACTTCTTTCGACAATGTACATATAGAAGTTGTTCAAATCCAATAACTACAAAACAAAAACTTTGACCAAAAAGAAAGAACTACCAAAAAAGTTCCTTATGCATAATGTGTGACACAAGTTATGATTTTTTTTGTTTAAATTCATCTTTATGCATTAGAGTTCAACCGAGTTGTCATTGATTTGAACGAGTATTTAGATAAACCTGCGGATCTTGAAGATTTTGGAGATGGTAATCTGGATCTTGGTGATGATGAAGATGGTTTCTTTCTCCTATTCTTGCTCTTAGTATGAATCTTGGATAGACCTACTGGAATTGGAGGCACATCCCTTAGCCTATCTGATAATATAGTTGGTTGGCTTGAGCTCTGATCAAAATCTGAATTTAAGAAATATAAATAAATATTTCCACAATTTAAAAATGTAACTATAGTTGTTCATACATTTCATCTATTTAAATGCAACCATAAATTACCAGTGGATGAAGAAGTGGCCAAGAATGATTTCGAATGTGTTGCATGACTAACAGATGATGCTCTTGGAGATAATGGCTCCACTGCTGCTTTAAATTCACTCATCTTCATCCACAGAAACGATTATATTTTTAGATAAACATCAGCAGAAAAACAAAGTTTACCATCAGGTATATATATCAGTTCATATTAAATTTAGATTTTATGGCAAGTAAACCATACAGTTGATGGCAATACTCCTAAACTGAAGTTTTGGTTTGATAAGAAAATACAGTAGGAGAAAAACACCCTAATTATTTTTCTGAGACAAAAGTAAAAATGAAAACATATTAAAACTAACTAAAGAGAGGGAGGGCTTTACCCATGCAGGAGCGCTGCCAGAGGAGCCCTCCCAGCCAACATGAGCCACATGCTTTACTTCTGTTGGGTACCCAATTTCCATATCTCTTTCTTTCTCAACTGTTGACCAAAATGTTTATATAAATAAATAATTTCATCACTTAGAACATCTCTAAGATAATTGGATGTTCCCATATTGATGAATAAATGGACCGGAATTTTTGTTTTTGGCGTGTGAGGGGTACTTGTACTTCAGAAATGTAGACGTTCATATCATAAGGTTATTATAAATTACTTCATGTTCAGAACTTACAGATTCTAATTATGGTATAAAGTTGCAAGGAAGTTTGATAAACCATATAGCTTAGCTTAATATGATCAGAAGTAACTGAAAATATGGTAAAAAGTATACCGAATATATGAGAGATCGATTTGAAGCTTTTGTAGATTCCCTTCATCTTCATTGTCATTATTAATTGTTGATGGAGAAGATCGCTAGCCAACTCCAAATGTTTATAAAAGCTTCTCTTCTATTGTTATCAGCTTAACACAACCACTATCTCTTATCTATTACAAAAGTAAGATGAAAAATACAAATAAATTCCATTAGAAATATAAAGCAAGAGAAGGAAATATATATAGCAGGTAAGCAAGGGATATATATATACGCATACAGGTGATGATTTATCCCATGGAAGAAGATCTACAGCACAATTAGTTTCTGAACACTCAAAAATTTCAACAAGCTATGATCCATCTGATTAACAGATGATGCTATTAAAGTTATACTTTTTTACCAAAAAAAGATAGTGTCTTTCATTTCGTTAGTAACCGATGATGCTATTAAAGTTATACTTTTTTACCAAAAGAAGCTAGGAATACTTAATTTTTACCTAAGAGACAAAATCATATATATATATATATATATGTTATTACTGTAAAGAAATGAAAGATATATGTTATTACTGTGAAGAAATGAAAGAGAGTTTTATTTTTGTCAAACGTAAAAGAGAGTTTTCATTTAGTAGTACCTGGAAATTACAGAGACTCGTGCTTTTTTTTAGTGTGAAGGGCTCTCTTGGAAACAAATACGAGAGAAGCTCTTCTTTCAATTGATGGAGAGCCTCTAAATGAATACACACAAAACATATATGCGTCTCACTAAGCAAATAGATAGTATCCTAAACTTAAAACCAATTATTATTCAAAAAGATAGCATCCTAATCCCATATAGAATACACATGAGAATATGAAGATATAGCCAAATCGTGATGGTGGAGGATGAATGAAGGAAGAAGTATGGCTTGATCGGGCAAGATATAAGAAAGTGGGGAACCATGACACTACTTGTAGTATACAATCATGTACGTTTATAATTTATATTAACTAAAGAATCTTAGTCTGTTATTTTAATGTTTCAGTAACATTGCCTAGTCGTGTGATAACTATAACATACTTTATAGAACACGGTGATACGTGGATGGCAATGATTTTGTGATTTTCAAATTTTATAATCCTATAACTTTCACAAATTATTAATTAGTTTTCGAAGATTCCGCATTCAGCGATTTTATTGATAAAAAGAAAACACTTTCTGTCAGTTATCTTGTTTCATTACCTTAATTAGGTTGATTTTTGAATCATTGATTATGCGTCTAGAATCAGAATTAATAGAGGTTGTATAGATAATCATACATCATCATTTTCCAACCAATAGTGTATTATATTAATCTACTAGCAGCAAATTAGTAATTTTCCTAAGAAAATTTAGGAAAATATAAGATTTGGAGCAATAGATAGCCAACGGTCACAACTGTATAATGCATGCATATTGAGTTAAACAATGCAACTTTCGCAGATTTGTTCAACACACGCTTTGTGTGTTTTACCTTTCTTCGATTCCTCGACAATTATAATATTTGTTAGCTGTATACACCTACAAGTGCAATACAATTTTAAATAGAAGGAAAAGCTGAAGCCTATAATTTAGAAAACTGCAAGAGACTGTTGAAAGAGTTTTATATGTATTAAGGTGAATGTTTCAAAAAAAAAATGTATTGTAAAGTGAAGTAATAATATGTCATAATACGATTCCAAAAAGATGGAAAATTTATAGCGAGTGAGGTCTATGGTTTATACAAACGGTGAAGGAATACAAACGCTCTATGCGATTGACTAAAAATATATAGCTTTTCTTCCAAAATGCGAGCTATTACTATTAGAAACCTATATTATATGTGACTCATATATAACATACTATTGTGTTGGATTAATTTGACCTAGTCTTAATCTAGTCTTGGTGATAGTCATGTTAGGTACAGCTATGATTTCTCATGGCTACGACTAACAAAAAAGGACCAATATGAACGATGCTTGTTATGATTTATACATTTAATTATAAGATTCAGAATTGATCAAATTAGATTGTCAGTAAAATCAATAATACTATCTATATGAGGTAAATGTTATTTTACGGATGAATCATGGAAAAACCACCAAAATGATTTAGGAAAAGAATGATAGCACATTCTAAGGATTTGATAGTATAATGGGAATGAGGAATGCACCAACTAGTCAGTCACCATTTCATTCGAAAAAATTCTTATCTAAGCAATGAAATGTATGAAGAATTTAAGACAGTTTAATGTTATATTTACAACAGATTATTTTTAGTTGTTGAAGAAGATTTCAGAACCAGAAGAATGGTTAACCTTTATAAGTTATTTGGAGGACATAAAGATTTCAAAGAGAAACTTCCATGTGTTAGAGGTCGTTCATATACTATAGATTTAAAACTTAAGGACGGACAGTCTAGCATTTATTAAAAGAAGTAACCGTCGTTTGTCATTCATATGAATATGATCATATAAAATTATCGATTTAGTTTGAAGACTCCATATAAATCTGTTTAAATTGATGATAAAAACAAGATTCCAAAATATAAACTAATTTATTATCGTTAAGCCGAATTAGTGAGACTGCAAAGTATTTATAGCTCCTAATAAATTGCATGAGAAGTATGTTTTTCTACCAATGTGTTGGTGGCTTAGTGGTAATATAAAAAGGTAGTTGCTTTGTACCTTAGATGACTAGATTCAAATCCACTCTTGGTACTAAATGCTATTGCCTCACTTTATAAAAAATGTTATTTGGAAGTTTTACACATATATTAAAAAATATTTAAAAATTCAATTTGTCTCTTGGCACAGTTAATAAATTTCTCTTTCCAATTAATATATTAAAATATTAGAGATAAACTTGTTTTTTTAAAATTTTTTTTTTGCAGTGGGTATAAAAAGAGTACAGACAAAATTGAACATTAAAATAATAGAGATACAATTGCACCTTTTAAATGTTTAAAGTGATTGTCTGATACTCAACATTAAACTTTTAACTGAAAAACATTAACTAATGAGGAAGTTAGTTAATATAGCTGTTTAATTCGGCGACAACAATGGCTTAGGGCATCTCCAACCCAACTCCATTTTTACTCTAAAATGGAGTAAAAGGGAATATGAAGTAGAAAACACTCCAACCCTACTCCATATTCTACTCCATAATAGAGTTTACTCTATAAATAGAGTATTCTATTTTTTATTTGTTCATCACTCCATTATGGAGTGGAAAATAAAGTAGGGTTGTAACATTTTTACTCCATATTCTCTTTTACTCCATTTTGGAGGAAAAAATGAAGTTTTACATTGGAGATGCTCTTAACAATAAAAATAGACAAGTAAGTAGCACAATAACTTTCCATCAATAATTGCCACGAACCTACCGTTTTCATAACTTATTTAAATGAACAGACAATAATAGTCCCTCATGAATAATAATAACCACATAATATTGTAATTAATTTATTTTCCTACGACAATAATTAGAGAATAGTATATCTTTCTCTTTCATATTTTTAAAAATGAAGAATATGTGGGTGTGTACAACATTCGCAACATTAAGAGCACCATTATCCCATATTTTTTGTGGGTTGCTTAGCCATTTTTTATATATGGGTCTCACTAAAAATACAAGCAACCATTTTTTATTTTGTTAAAATAAACAACTGATTTGGGGTGTTGTTTGCACTGTTCACAGATTTCACTGATACGTGGTGACTTACGATTGATTTTTTTTTTAATTTTTTTTCACACAAAAATAATTTAAGTAACGCAATTTTGGATTGCTGGGATAATGATACTCTAAGGAATGTGCTCTTTATATTTTTCTAAAAATAAAATAAAAACAATGCATCTATAATATTATTTACAAAGTGATTTTTCGCTACAAAGCTCTCACGTTAAAAGTTGAACATGTTTATATAGTTTATACCCTTAATGTATAAAATATATAAATCAACCAAAAATAAAAATAAATTTATTATTTATTTGATTACATAAATTATTTAAATTAATAATAATGATAAGAATTATCCACAATCTAAATATATATTTAAAAAATAGAAAGATAATTCCTATATATAATGTGTTGTTATCCGGAAAATATATTTTAATTAAAAAAAAACAGAAAAAACAAAAACAAATTTTCATAAAGTAAAAATTTTAGTTGTATATATAATTGAAATTACGAAATTGTAAAAATTATAATACGTAATTATTTTCAAATTAAAAGAATACAATAATATAACATAATGATATATGTTTGTGAAGTTATTTTTCGCCTCTGAACTCACACGTAAATTAAATTTATTTTTATATTTTATATAATTAAATCTTAAACATAAATTAATCATAATAAAATAAAAGAGCCTTCCAAAAGAAAGAAAATACGTGTTTGACAAAACTAAATTTAAATATATTGTACTATTATCCAAACTAATATAACTCTTTATGTAAGATCAATTTTTGAATGTATATTTATCGATTAAATTTTTCAAATTGAAAGATAGATTTCTATATTGTTATCACTTAAGAAGAAAGGAAATAGACTTTGGATTTTTCAAAATTTTAAAGGAAAACATAGATTTTTTTAAAAAAAATTTGTGAATAAATTTATCATATAAAGTGTTTAATGTTTTAGGTCGATTTTTTTGGATGCAAATAATCATTTATTTTGATGATTTTTTAAATTAATTTAAAGATAATTTAACTGGCATGTGCGAGCAAAACACGTATAATATACACACAAGGTAAAAAGTCATATTTAAAAAGGTAAAAATCGAATTTTTTCTACCTTAAATCATCGTTACAGGGTAAGTTGGATGGATCTTGTTTTCGATACCTAAAGAAGTAAACCAAAGTGAAAACCACAAGAAGCGCAACACCGGAGACGCCGCAGATGATACTCGCCGCAAGAAACACGTGCCTCATCACGTGATCACGTCTGTTCTCGGCTCCGTCACGCCACCACGAGTCATCGTCTTCGCCGTCTGCCTCCGAAGCTTTTGGGAGGAGCTGAGGAGGAGGAGAGTGGGAATCTCCGAAGAAGGACATCATTTTCTCGGGAGGTGAGTGAGATTCAGTCGGTGGTGAGCTGAACTGATACTGTAGGCCATGATCAGAAGGTCGTAAGCCTTGGGCGAGTGCGAAGATGAAGATGAAGGATACAGTGAACGTGAAGAGCGACGCCGATCTGATGCGGTTTAAGAAAAGAGCCATGTGAAGAGAGAGTTGTTTGTTTTTTGTATTTTCTTTGTCAAACTAGTCAAGTAGGAGATGCTGATCTCAAACGACATCGTTCTGTTATGGTGGGTTCATAAATAGTTTGGTGTGACAAAGAAGATACCAACAAGTCACCAACTTTTAATCCTTATGATGTTCTTTTTGCTTCCTTCATTAACAAGAAATCAAGATTTGCAACAACCAAAAAGCACTAATGTAATTTCACAAATTTACTTCTGGACTACTATTGAGTACTTTATTTTACTAGAAGTGCTACATGTTCAAATTTCACAATCTAGCGTTTCATTATAGAAGATGAATTAGATAGCAAAACCCATCATCAATATCTAGTTTCATCAATATGCCTTATGGACTAAAAAAGGTCACAAGGTCAATCCATGGGACGAGGCCCACTAATATACTATCCCATTACCATTGCTTGTGAGTTTGCTACTTGGAACATTAATACTCACAAATTGAGGAGTTTTTGAGAAGTTAGTTCACAAAGTATTTGAAGTCAAGCAGAACTTGCGGGAACATCCTCATCAGAAGGAGGCTGCATTGGTCTTTTAGCTCGTGGTGGTGGTTGTGGCTTTGGTGGTGGCGGTGGTGGTCTTTTTGGTTTCACCTTCTTGACTTCCTCTGATTCAACTTCAAACTGTATGATGACGCAAACGGTGTGTTAAGAAGAAGAAAATTTGCAAACGCATAAAAAATGAGGGTCGAAACAAGGATATCAAACCTTGTAACCACAGCCTGCGACACATGCGTGGAAGCATTCCTGGATTTTATAAAAAAAGGACATGTAAAACCAGTTAGATACAGTACAGTTCTTCAGTCTACTCCTCTATCTAAGAAATTTTGTTTTTAAATACTTCAGAGTAGCTGGCAGCTCCAGGAGAACGATCTATATAAGCACTCCATTGTCGGTCTTTTAGAACAGGGTCTTTGTAGCATATCTCACTGCAACTTGATACACCTATAAAGAGCACACTATTACACTAATTCATTAACCCGCAAACTAAAACATGAAAAAGAGGAGAGTAGTAAATCGATGAACATATATAATGTAGGCGACACGTCTGGTTTAACAATGCTACATAGTCAGGGCAGATGTATCTGCTCTTCAATTCACTATGGATTTCCAGAGATTAGAGAGAAATGCTTACAATCTTCCCATGAGTCACTATCGGCATCACATCCCTTTTTGCAGAACACTCTCCCTACAACAAGGTTTCAGGGTAATCATCAGTGCCTAGACTGATGATAAGGTGTAAAAAAGGGTTTCTATAATCCTGAAAGAATGTTATTTACAACAACATGGAGTATATAACTATAAACTCTGCGAAATCCCCCTTATACTCGATGGAGAGTCAATACCACACTCTACAATAAACATTATTAACCAAGAAGCAAGACGGTTTTCTTCAACACTTTGTCTTCTGGAGCAATCTTTATATAATTAAAGAAGTGATCATTCTCACTACGTCTCAGTAAAGTTGTATGATCGCTAACAACAATTGATTAGGGTTTATAACCTAAGATACTCTGACAATAACATTTCCCCAAACAAAAAAGTTCGACTAATCGACTTCTGAATCATCATCCATTATCCAGATATTAAAAACCTAATCCACAAATCAAAATCGATTTCAAATAATTTATCATAATAAGAATTCAAATAAACAGCGATTGTGATCATTTCATAGCTAAAACATCAAAAAAACAAACGAGCCACGAACATACAAACTAAATCAGCCATTACGGATCGAATCAAATTTGAGGGAGAGACTCACATGGAATCTGCGTAAGAGCTGCAAACTTATGCGTGCATTCACTCCCACACGGCGGCGTCCATTGCTGCGGTATCATCTCTCTCTCTCCCCCTCTTCCTCCGCCTCCACTCTTCGCCGAAGCAATTAAAAAAAATAGAGCTGAGACTTTGTGTATATTTTAAGGGTATTTTCGTCTTATTCAGTAGTCCAAGCTTTCTTGATAATCAAAACCTCCCCGAAGCAGAAAATAAGAGCCGAGACTGTTTATAATAAAGGGTACTTTCGTCATTCAACCGAAGCGCACTTATAATCAAACCGGTCGGTTTCTCACATTTCCCGAAACCGGTTATCTAATCAACTCGGTTATTTCCATAAATAATTCAAACCGACTTCTCAGCACTGAAGCCGTCTCGTTCGCACTCCTCTCGTCGCTTGAGCAAGTGTTTATGCTCTCTCTCTCTCAGATTGGAAATGGATTATAATAACAACGAATACGAACAGGAACCGACTTACATCGAAGACGACGACGACGACGATGAGGAGATCACCCAGGAAGACGCCTGGGCCGTTATCTCCGCCTATTTCGAGGAGAAAGGTCTCGTCCGTCAGCAGCTCGATTCCTTCGATGAGTTTATCCAGAATACTATGCAAGAGATCGTCGATGAGTCCGCTGATATCGAGATCCGTCCCGAGGCTCAGCACAATCCTGGCCACCAATCTGATTTCGCCGAGGTTCCTTTTTTCTAGGGTTTCTATGGGGGAATCTAATATCTGCTGCTGTTTCATCGTGGTTTTGAGCTGTTTGTGGATTTAGGTTGTACAGTTTTGTTGTAATTAGGGTTTGCCTTTCCTGAGGAGGTGATATCGTTGATGTGGAATTATGTTAGTATTCAATACTTGAGCTATTAGCTTTTCAAGGTGTGTTTATAATGGTTTTGAGTATTGTTTGAAGTTCTAATTAGTTTTAGCACTAAGTAAATGTGTTTGGTATCTTATGTGCTTGCACCTCTGCTATGACTATTTTTTCTGCAGACGATCTATTTTAGCTTGTACAGTGTTGTTGCAATTAGTGATTCCCCTTCTTGTATAGCTGATCTCGTTGATGTCCAAATAATCTTTGTGTTCAGAGCTTGAGATGTTTGCTTTTCAATGTGTATCTACTGTTTTTTTTTTAGTATTGCTTGAGGCTCCAATCAGTTTTAAGCACTAAGTAAATGTGTTTGGTATCTTATGTGCTCAACCTCTGCTATTACTATTTTAGATTGTACAGTCTTTTTGCTATTAGTGTTTGCCTTAGCTGATCTCATTGATGTCTCGAGTTCACTTTTTTTTTACTCTATGCTTGAGCTCTTTGTTTTCTCAAGGTGGATTTTTCAGTGTTTCTGAATGTTGCGGTGAAGCTTAGTTCAGTTTTGGCACTAGGAAGTTGTGTTTGAATCTTTGTTGGATTGTAACTCTGATACAGCTTTATTTTCTTGCAGACAATCTACAAGATTAGTTTTGGACAGATTTATTTGAGTAAACCCATGATGACGGAATCTGATGGAGAGACTGCCACCTTGTTTCCTAAGGCTGCAAGATTGAGAAACCTCACGTACTCTGCTCCTTTGTATGTCGATGTCAGTAAGAGAGTTATTAAGAAAGGGCATGATGGTGAGGAAGTTACGGAGACACAGGATTTTACCAAAGTTTTTATCGGAAAGGTCAGTCAACTTCTTTTTTTTTGTGTGGAAAATGTGATGAGCTGCATGATCTGTATGGTTCTGACATTGAATTTTTTATTTGATTTTTCCTAGGTTCCCATCATGCTCCGGTCTAGTTACTGCACCTTGTTTCAGAACTCGGAGAAAGATTTGACAGAGCTTGGAGAATGTCCTTATGATCAGGGTGGATACTTTATTATTAATGGCAGTGAAAAGGTTCTGATTGCTCAGGAGAAGATGAGTACGAACCATGTTTATGTTTTCAAGAAGCGACAGCCAAATAAGTATGCATATGTTGGTGAAGTCCGTTCCATGGCTGAGAACCAAAATAGGCCTCCCAGCACAATGTTTGTGCGCATGCTTGCTCGTGCTAGTGCGAAAGGGGTAAGAAGCTGATTATCTTGAATTCTACGATATTCTTCCTCAATATTTTTTTTTTTCTGTAAATTCTAGAATATGGTAAATAAGTTACATTCTATGTGGCAAATGGATGCAGGGTTCATCTGGACAGTATATTCGGTGTACTCTGCCATACATCAAAGTCGAAATCCCTATTATCATAGTGTTTCGTGCCTTGGGATTTGTTGCCGATAAGGACATATTGGAACATATTTGCTATGATTTTGCCGACACTCAGATGATGGAGTTGCTCAGGCCTTCCTTGGAAGAAGCTTTCGTTATTCAGAATCAGCTGGTACCCGCTGTTTCTTCATCTGGTTAATCAATTTTTATTCTGGCTTTTATCATCTCTAGTGCTTAAGGCTATATCCTGCAGTTAGTTGATAGCCTTCATATTACTCCAGGTTGCACTTGACTATATTGGGAAACGTGGTCCAACCAATGGTGCACCCAAGGAAAAGAGGATAAAGTATGTGAGCCTTTGAACCAATTGACTTTGGGTGCTATGATCTAAGATCTCAACTACTGTGATGTTGATACTGGAGGCTTGGAATTGCAATATTATCATTGCAGGTATGCAAGAGATATCCTTCAGAAAGAAATGCTTCCTCATGTAGGAGTTGGGGAGTTTTGTGAGACGAAGAAAGCTTACTATTTTGGGTAAGTATTCAGCTCATTCGCGTTGGTTGAGATTTCATATGTTTTGTGTTGCTCATACTATGCATTAACCCCCTCAGGTATATCATACACCGGCTGCTGCTTTGTGCACTTGGCCGAAGGCCAGAAGATGATAGGGATCATTATGGTAACAAAAGGCTGGATCTTGCTGGTCCTTTACTGGGAGGGCTGTTTAGAATGGTTTGCTATCAGCATTATTGAGAAATTTTGAAGAATTTGAAGTATCATTGTAGTGGATTCCTTATTGACTTAACATCTTCTTGAATGCAGCTTTTCAGAAAGCTGACGAGGGATGTGAGATCTTATGTTCAGAAGGTCTCTTACATATTTACTCTTTCTTGAGTCGATAATTTCAATTCGAGTTTTTCACTCATTTGGAAATCTGATTCATGTCGTTTTAACAGTGCGTTGACAATGGCAAAGAAGTCAATCTTCAATTTGCTATTAAGGCTAAAACAATTACCTCTGGCCTGAAATATTCTCTTGCTACTGGAAACTGGGGCCAGGCAAACGCTGCTGGCACAAGAGCTGGAGTCTCTCAGGTTAGGATATTTACTAGTATATGTCCCGCGCTATGCACGGATAGTGTTTATATGTATATACAAAATATAGTTTTTGCTTGTGGCATGTCTCAAAAAATTTAAAGGCCTAGTACTTGTGCTTTAAAGTGAGTCTCTCTTACTTTTCTTCCCTGAATTATCACCACCATACTATATAAGTATTTCCAGCATAATCGAGAACTGATTTAATCCCTTTTAAAAACGTTATTGGCCCAATATGTAACTTTTTCCTATTTGAAGCAAGAAGCAAAATAAAAGCAATAAGTAGATTAGAACAGCCTACTTGGAGTACCCTCGGTTTACATAGCCTCAACAACTTTGTGTTTTTATTTCTCACTTCATGAAAATATTTATTTTAAAGAAATATTGTTGTGCCAAGTTTTTCCCTGAGATCATGTTGATATGGATCGAGAATGGATATGGTCATTTAAGTTTTCGATCTATTTGCTCAAAACTGCATCACAGTTTGGAGAGAATTTGAAGCTGTTACAAAAAAATAGGAAATGTTTTTTTAACAAAGCAAGTAGAAATGAATTTACGGTATATGAATTCTGAGCTAATCCAGAGAAAGACTTACTATTATGAAGATCGTGAGTTCATGGGTGTGAGAAATTTTAGAATTGTTTTAGTTTATAAATATTTTTTTTTTAACAGTTAAGTGACGAAATGTTTTTTGCATTTAATTCAATTTCTTTTCATTTCATTTATGTTTTTAAAATTGTAAAACATTATCCATGTGTCAAAATCCAATTGGCTAGGTGACTTATACTTCAGTATATAAAGGATTTATTTATTTGTTTCTTCCTTTTTCAACTCAGGTTATTTCCTTAGATATGGTATTAGATTTACAATTTACAGTTTTGGTATATTATAGTTTTTCACATGATTTACGGTTCTAAAAAGTCTTTTAACTGACATCAGGTTTTAAATCGGTTAACATATGCTTCCACTTTGTCACATTTGAGGCGTCTCAATTCTCCTATTGGGCGTGAAGGTAAGGGGCCCTCTTCTTTTCCTGCACTTATATAATGTGTTACTTTATCTGTCAGTATAGTTCGTGTATTTTAGTCATGGTTCAGTTTATTATTCACATCCATGCAAGTTAGATTGGCTTGTAATTCTCGTTTTCCACTTGAATGCTAATCGAGTCTTATATTGCAGGAAAATTGGCGAAACCAAGACAATTGCACAACTCACAGTGGGGTATGATGTGCCCTGCTGAAACACCTGAAGGACAGGTATACTTGTTCCATTTACAGAAATAAGAATGTTTGGAGTTTCTATTACTTCCATTGCTTATTGTGGCTTTACTTTTCCAGGCTTGTGGTCTAGTGAAAAACTTGGCGCTCATGGTCTACATTACAGTTGGGTCAGCTGCCTATCCCATCTTGGAGTTTCTGGAAGAGTGGGGGACTGAGAATTTTGAGGTCTGTAGCACTTCACAGTTAGTTTCTTACTCAGTCTCTGTTACTTTGTTTCGGGTACTCAAGGTCTTAACTTGATTGCAGGAAATTTCTCCATCTGTTATTCCCCAAGCCACAAAAATCTTTGTCAATGGAATGTGGGTTGGAGTTCATCGAGATCCTGACATGTTGGTGAAAACCTTGAGACGTTTGAGAAGAAGGGTAAGCATGCAGTTTCTTTCCCGTTTTTCAAATAATTTAGCCACTAAATCACAACGTTTTGTAGAAGTGATATATTACGTTTATTCTTGCAGGTTGATGTTAACACTGAAGTTGGCGTTGTCAGAGATATTCGACTGAAAGAGCTCCGTATATACACTGATTATGGTCGTTGTAGTCGTCCCCTGTTTATTGTGGATAACCAGAGGCTGTTAATAAAAAAGAAAGATATCTATGCTCTGCAACAAAGGGTAAATTTCTAGTCTTCTGCTCCCAAAATTCCGTTTGTTATAACTTTGATTGTACCAACATTCTTTTTATAACGCAGGAAAGTGCAGAAGAAGATGGTTGGCATCATCTAGTTGCAAAGGGGTTTATAGAATACGTTGACACGGAGGAAGAGGAGACTACTATGATATCTATGACTATTAATGTGAGTAATAGAATGTCTGAAGGTTGAATTGAAAATGTGCACTTTTGGCCACTCATTTACACAGAAAACTCAATCCTAGTTTTGTTTCAGGATCTGGTTCAAGCTAGACTCCGTCCCGATGAGGCATATTCTGAAACTTACACACATTGTGAGATTCACCCTTCTTTGATATTGGGTGTTTGTGCTTCGATTATACCATTTCCCGACCATAATCAGGTTTTTCTCTCTTTAAATGACTTTGTCTATGAGAAGCAGTTTGGTTATGTAAATTCAAATCTATGCTAACTATCTCGTTTTCTTTTCTATACCACTTCTGCGTTTTGTTAGTCACCACGTAATACCTATCAATCTGCTATGGGAAAGCAAGCGATGGGAATATATGTCACCAATTACCAATTCCGCATGGTATGTTCTAGGCTCTTATTTTTTGGCCTTTCTCTACCATTTCTTGTTGTAATACTACATGTTTAATGACACTGTTATCATTGTTCTGTCAACCAGGATACCTTAGCCTATGTTCTCTATTACCCTCAAAAGCCTCTGGTCACTACAAGAGCTATGGAGCATCTTCACTTTAGGCAACTGCCAGCAGGAATTGTGAGTTAATTTGCTTGGAAGTCTTTCAGAGTCCAGCTTTTATTCTTCTATCAATTCTCTCAAATTTTGTTTTTCTCTTGTGTAGAATGCTATTGTTGCCATTTCTTGCTACTCTGGATATAATCAGGAAGATTCTGTCATCATGAATCAGTCTTCCATAGACCGTGGTTTCTTTAGATCCTTGTTCTTTCGATCTTACAGGTGAGTGCCATACATGTGGACATTTTCCTTCGGTCTGTTCATTTATTTATACTGCAGAAACGTTCATTTATTTATACTGCAATCTTTCTGCGTGCAGAGATGAGGAGAAAAAAATGGGGACGCTTGTCAAAGAAGAATTCGGGCGCCCAGACAGAGCAAGTACAATGGTAAGTTTTAGTTTGACAGTTGCGGCTCAAATATTTATGTGGTGGTAATTGTTAGTGGAGTTTAACACTTGAGTGTTTCTGATGCAGGGTATGCGACATGGTTCTTATGAGAAGCTGGACGATGATGGTCTTGCACCTCCTGTAAGTATACAATTTTTTGTTACTTTAATATTATCTGATTTGCTGAGGCGGTAATGTGTATACTATTTTTTTATTTTCTGATATAGGGTACTAGAGTGTCAGGTGAAGATGTAATCATTGGGAAAACCACTCCAATATCTCAAGATGAGGCTCAAGGTCAATCATCACGATACACTAGACGTGATCACAGTATAAGCTTGCGACATAGTGAAACTGGAATGGTTGATCAGGTAACTTTGGCATTTCCTTGCAGTTAGAGCTTCATAAGTCTCAGCGATACTAATCTGTTGTTTAAACATAAAGCTGGGGTTCTGAAAGGTTCTCTATTCTTATAAATTTTGAACTTCTTGTAGGTGTTATTGACCACAAATGCAGATGGTTTGAGGTTCGTGAAAGTGAGGGTTAGATCCGTTCGTATACCTCAGATCGGAGACAAGTTTAGTAGTAGACACGGCCAGAAAGGAACTGTTGGGATGACCTACACCCAAGAGGACATGCCTTGGACGATTGAAGGCGTTACTCCTGATATCATCGTGAATCCGCATGCTATTCCTTCTCGGATGACTATTGGTCAGCTTATCGAGTGTATTATGGGAAAAGTGGCAGCTCACATGGGGAAAGAAGGAGATGCGACTCCTTTTACAGATGTCACGGTAACTTAACAATTTTTCCTTAGATGCTCGGTTAGTTGTGACTTGGTATAAATTTTGACCATTGTGGTGTGTTTACAGGTGGATAACATAAGCAAAGCGCTCCATAAATGTGGTTACCAAATGCGTGGGTTTGAGAGGATGTACAATGGGCACACAGGCAGACCACTGACGGCTATGATATTCCTTGGACCAACCTACTACCAGAGGTTGAAGCATATGGTCGACGACAAGATTCACTCGCGTGGACGAGGTCCTGTACAGATCTTAACAAGGCAGCCAGCTGAAGGGCGATCCCGTGATGGTGGTCTACGTTTTGGAGAAATGGAACGTGACTGCATGATTGCACATGGAGCTGCAAACTTTCTGAAAGAGAGGCTGTTTGATCAGAGCGACGCCTATAGGGTGCATGTGTGTGAAACATGTGGCCTCATCGCCATTGCAAATCTGAAGAAGAATTCTTTTGAGTGCAGAGGTTGCAAGAACAAAACAGATATTGTTCAGGTAAGTCTCCAGATTGTGTTTATAAACGATCTTGTTTCTACGCTCACTTGTCTGATGCCTTTGCATTTTAATCTTTTCATAGGTTCACATTCCATATGCGTGCAAGCTGCTCTTTCAAGAGCTTATGTCAATGGCGATTGCGCCAAGGATGCTTACTAAAGGCTTGAAAAATGCGAAAGGCAGAAAGTGAGAAAGCTTTGCTCTCTGGTTTTTGTAGAACATTGTGAGCTTTTTGTGTTCTCGTTTTCTATTTATCTTTATAACAAAACCAAACTACGAATTTGTGTTTCCTTTATTTGTACTTTTGAAGTTAGAAACTGAGAGGTATACTCTCTCACGTTGAAGGAAATAACTACGCAGCTTTTGTTATTCCGCTCACGTTGAAGGAAATAACTACGCAGCTTTTGTCTTTGGACAGTTAACTTGTTCTGAAGAAGTACTTAACCGCTGAAACTGATTTTGAGAAAAGAAAATGTTTTTGTTCCTGCTTGGTCTTAGACTATGCTTAAAACATAATTACTTCCAAGGGATAAAGTCTCTCGAATGCTTCAGTAGAGAAGATATTTGATCACTTCTATGTTTCTATCATAACCTTTCTTCCTTAAACAACCTAAGCGTGAACACAACCAATGAATCGCTTGTATTGGGTTTCAAATTTCATCATCGTTGAAAGAATGGTTCTTGCCTCTTAGAAGTACAAGGTTCAAAAACTAGACAAGAAAAAAGAATCAAGTTTAAATTGAATTTTAACCGAAGTTCAAGGTCTCATTTGCAAATATCAAAAAGACATTAAAACATGTCATTCAGTTGTTGTTCGAACCAGCGAACTTAAAAACCAGAGTCTCCGCCGCAGTCCATCACCGGGAAACAATGAACATACTCCGACGAATCCCATCGAATCTCTTCACAAACAGACACTACTACACAAACCGAGTAAAAAAAACAACCCTCTACTCCAAAATCAGCCCTTTAGGAAACCCAAAATCAAGCATCTACCCAGAACTCCAAAACTGGGTCCACTCCGGCAACAAAGTCTCCGTCGCCGAGCTCATCCGCATCGTCCACGACCTCCGCAGACGCAAACGCTTCCTCCACGCCCTCGAGGTCTCCAAATGGATGAACGAGACAGGCGTATGCATCTTCTCCCCGACAGAACACGCCGTCCACCTCGACCTCATAGGCAGAGTCCACGGCTTCGTCTCCGCCGAAACCTACTTCGAAACCCTCAAGGAGCATCACAGGAACGACAAGACTCACGGAGCGCTTCTCAACTGTTACGTTAGGCAACAGGAAGTTGAGAAAGCTTTGTCTCATTTCGAGAAGATGAGGGAGTTGGGTTACGCTTCTTCGTCGCTTACTTACAATAACATCATGTGTCTTTACACTAACATTGGTCAGCACGAGAAGGTTCCTTGTGTGTTGGAGCAGATGAAGGAAGAGAATGTTGTTCCTGATAATTATAGTGTTAGGCTTTGTATTAATGCCTTTGGTGTTATGAATGATCTTGAGAGGATTAGTGAGATCTTAAGGGAAGAGGATGTTGTTAGAATGGATTGGAATACTTACGCTGTTGCTGCGAAGTTTTATATCGATGGTGGGGGCCGTGATAAGGCTATTGAGCTTCTGAAGATGTCTGAAGATAGGTTGGAGGGTAAAGATGGTGAAGGGTATAATCATCTTATTACGTTATACGCTAGGTTAGGTGATAAGGGAGAGGTGTTGAGGCTATGGGGTTTGGAGAAAGATGTTTGTAAGAGACGGATTAATCAGGACTATCTTACTGTGTTGCAGTCACTTGTGAAGATTGATGGTTTGAGAGAAGCTGAGGAAGTGGTTAAGGAATGGGAATCATCGTCAGGGAACTGTTACGATTTTCGGGTTCCGAACGTCGTGATTCGTGGGTATGTTGGGAAAGGGATGGTGGAGAAGGGAGAAGCGATGCTTGAAGATTTGGCGAGGAGAGGGAAAGGCACTACGGCAGATTCTTGGGGGCTTGTGGCCGCTGCTTATGTTGAAAAAGGTGGTTTGGATAGTGCTTACAAGTGTTTGAAAACGGGGTTAGATGTAGAAGTGGGGAAGAGGAAATGGAGACCGGGTTTGAAGGTGGTGACAAGTGTTTTGAGTTGGCTTGGGGATGAAGGGAGGTTGAGTGAAGTAGAAAGCTTTGTTGCTTCTCTTAGGAACTGTACGGGTGTGAACAGAGAGATGTATCATGCTCTTGTTAAGGCTGATATAAGAGAAGGTGGAAGCAACGTTGACACTCTGTTGCAGCGTATGAAAGAGGACAGGATTGAGACTGATGATGAAACCATGGCTATTCTCAGCACAAGAAGTCACTGCTGAGGTTTTGTTCTTCTTCCTTACCATGCGTTTTGACATGATCTCAAGAGATGAGTTTTGCTTCAACTACGTCATAGTTGATACCACAAGCACCAGAATCTTTATGTTTGTTAAGAATCCTCTGTGCTTGTTCTTTTTTTTTTGTCAACCCCTCTGTGCTTGTTCAAAGTGCCACTTTTTATTGAACTAACAGAAGGGAGAATTAGAACACTATTTGGATGCATTTTTATTGAAGTTGATATCCACTCCCTAACAATTTTATGTCTGAGAGGATGCCATGGAGCTCAGAGATACTTTCTTCATGGTTTATAGCTCTTATAAGCTGGGAGGAGTCAGACTCTAGGAGGATATTATCCAAGCCATGATCTCTGCAAAAAACCAGAGCCTCCCGAATGGCAAGACCCTCCGCAATCAGTGGTGAGGCAACATGCCATTGAGGTTTCTTCCTGCGGATTTCGAATCTTGCAGTCTTCACAGTCCAGCCGAGCCCGGCTTTCTTATCTTCTTTCCTCCATGCTGCATCTGAGCGGACAATAGTAGTGGCAGAGTGTGTTATCGTCGGCCCTGGAAAGGTCTTAGGGAGGGAAACCTTCTCTATCTTACTTCCTTGTTCCCATTCCTTAGCTGCTACTATTGTATAAAACTCTATTTTTGTAGCAAAAAGAATAGTGTTTTGAAAAGCTACGTCAAAATAATTTACAACCTAAAACATACATCTGTAACTGATTCCAATCACTCTCTAGATCTTAGAGTAGGATTAAAGAGAGATTTTAATATGGGGGGGGGGGGGCTTTTAAGCAATGGGTCTCAAGGTTTTGGAAAAAGCTCTTCCTCCTCTTATGCAAGAATTGATCTTAGATTGGTTTTTGGACTATTTTTAGATTCCACCAACACATAGCAGTCCGCGATTAATTTAATTTTTCTTTTTAGAGAAAAAAAAATTCTTAAAAACTTATGCTGAAGAATTTTGGGTTAATTATGCTATTATTTTCCAAACATGTTTAAAAGATTTCTATTTTCATAAGAATAACATTCTTACAAGTATTTTTTTGTGCTATTACATTTTAATTTTACCTGGCGAAATCACTTTCGCAATCTTACATATCCGTTTTGGCGTTATCTATGTTTGTCGACGTAATATACAAAGTTATATTCATATATCATGGACGTATATATCATTATTTTTTAAGGTGTATCAGTATTTTTTTTAAGGTGTATCAGTATTTTTTTTAAGGTGTATCAGTGTTATCTATGAACTAAATTGCAACTTGCTTATCTCTAGATAAAGAAAAAGAAAACCCAAAGTTTGATAGGATGAATGATTCGACGGGATAATTCATTGTACTTATAATATAAGATATTTTTATATCCAGATCTTGTCGTGTCTCGTTTGAGAACACTATCAGATAGTATAACTTATAAGCCGTCGTCTCCTCAATTTATTTCTATTAAATTCATCACCGAACCAAAGTAACATTGAAGTCAGAAATCTGACATCAGCCATTTTTGTCCCAGTTCTTCTTCTTATCCTTTTAAATTGTAAGAAATAAATGAATAAACAGTTTTTTTTTGGTAAACAAATAAGCAGTTGAACATGAATACAATTGATACTTGTGTTTAAACAATGTGCAAGTGAGTTCGTATTTAATTAGGTTGATCAAGGTGTATGAGGTGGACAATAAGCTCCATCCCAAGGGAGTCGACTTCGTTTTACATAAGCTCTACCTTTTAATCATTTGGTTTTATATTAATCCCTTGCTCAAACTAACCACATTCATGTTCGTATACATTTTTTTCTATCTGTCAATGACAAAGAGTATATTAATTTTCCAAAGTCCAAATCAAGAACTTTTAGCCTTTTTACACAACCTTGTGAAAATATTATCACTCTCTTAACTTATTTTATATACGTCAGAAAAAGTTTACACTCTCAGTTTCAAATCTGTAATATTTGTATAGTTTAAAATGATACTGGACTTTCATTTAGAGAAAGAAAACATAAACCATATCATCACCAATAAAATATTCTTTTTTTTTAGAACGACAAACCCCAAAAAATACAAAATATCGAATGGTGATGGATTTTGTTATAATATACAGATGTTCATATTAGTTAGTTCTGCTTGATCGCCATATATTAAATGGCATAAACTCAGTTGTTCTTCTATGCTCTAGAGATTGATATGGTTTCGACGTACGTTTCGTCGCGTTATGTATATGTGACCTAATCCATTAACGGATCCACCGAACCTAGACATTAGTTAAGTCGACGCAGCCAAATTTGACACTTATTGCTTCTTATACGTATCTTTAAAACGTAAAAGAACAAATTATATGACTTCAGAAACTACATGCAAAAATAATACTAGTATATAAGTGTCTTTAAACATCGAACAAGTGTTTTTTCTTAGTTATGTTGATTAAAATGTATGAGATTAACAATGAGCTCAAATTTTATAGTGTTAGTATATTAATAATCACAACGACTTCGTTTTCGTTTGATATAAGCTCTCTCGGTCTCGTATAACATTTGATTTTACTAATATACGTACACTCTTATCTTCAAGTGGCTGGGAGTGAAGCCTTTCAATTTCACGTTTATATCATTTGATTTTATAGTCATACACAGGATCGTCAACTTATGCTACTTTGTTTTTTTGTTAAAACGTTAGATGCTTACGCTCCAATTTTTATTTTATTTTGTACTTGTTGTGACCAATTAGATGGTTTATGCATTTTGTAATATGATTAGCGCATAAGAAGTTGTAAAATTATAATTTATAATTAATGGCCAAGTTCTTTAAAATATGTGGTCTTATATATATTCTTCTTCTACCTCAATTTTGCATAGATATGGTACCTAGAGAATATTCGAAGTTCTAACCATTACTTATCAGTTCTATATCACCTATAATCGGCGATGTCACTCGAGAGTGACCTATAACTATAAATTATTACTAAAAGAGAGTGGAAATATTTTTATGCTATTCAATACGAAAAGTAAATAAAGTGGAAGCAACTTGGTTGGTTATGATAGTAAAGTTGATAAGCAATATACAAAGCAGAATATATAATTGATAGCGCTTATATAATACTGACCAAAAGCATAACCCCGTGACTTGATAACTAATCGCACATTAAGTACTTATTAGAGAGCTGTTAGCCGAAACACCAAGTTGCAGACACAATCATAGTCTTGCCTTTGGTAATCAATGTCAAAGCAGCCACTTTTGCCTTTGGTAATTTGTTCTTATGGTTCTTGCAGTTTCCGCGTAGTAACCGATCACTAATGGCCAAATTGTTTTCTAAGAGAAAACATATCGGCCAAAATCGTAGTTGGTAGTAAATATATACTATGACGCCAAATAATTTATATCATATATAGTACATTTGCATGTGGCCTAAGTTGTATCAGTGATATGATATTTTCTATAGAAGTTTTAGTCAGCTCTTTATAGGGTCCTCTTTATATTTGATTGGTCACATAGAAATCCCAAAAAACTTGGTTAGATATAGGAGCAATAGTTATCTGGCGTCACTTATCTGCGTTACTAAATTACTAAGTACTGTCATTTATCTGTGTTACTAAATTCTAAAATTATTCTTGAGAATAAGGAGCAATATTTATTTCAAAAGTTAAAAACTCAGGCATATTATTACTAATAACTTTTACTTTTCAGCCACCGCCTTAGTCTATTTAATACTTTAATTAAAAAAAAGCTAAGTCTACTAAATTTTTGATTTTCTGAATGTCGTTTTCTTTGGAAGACATGAAGCTTCTTGGTTGGATGAATTTAAAAATATCCAAAGTGAATTTGGAGAACAGCTTGCAAACGAAACATCCTTCAAGTTTCCACTTGATTCCTCAGATTGGCTGCTTAATTAGCATGCCTCAAATGTATATTTAAAGCTACTAGTAATTAAACGTCATATATATGTTAAGTATTTTAAGAAATAACATATTATATTTCTGTCGTTATATATATAAGTTGATGGTTGTCATTTGTCCTAATTAATGATGGTCCACATTCATTAACTTTTAACGTGTTTTTTTTTTTAATTTTGATTCTTTAATGATGCAGAAAAAAACAGGCGGAAAATGAATCAGATTGTTATTACGTGTTCCTTGATATCGTGTTCTGTTTGTTAGAAGATTTTGTAAGATCAACTTATTCTTTCTAACGTGTAAAGTGTAATCACATTATCGATTAGCGGAAATAATAAAAGATGTTTCATATGAAATTATAATCATATATATAATAAATTATAATATATAGATTAACTCTAATTATTTTCGGCATGTGATTTTCAATGCTGTAGTATCTAAAATAAGATTACATTAAAAGATTAGTCTATTCGGATACGACCATAAAGCTCAGTCTAATCCGCTCATGAATACGAAAAAGAAAATATGATTTTGGTTTCATTTGGTTCATCTAAGAAGAAGCAACTTCTCGCATTGGTTTTGTGGGTTTTTTTTTATTGCTAACCATTTGATCAAAGCAAAGTCTGGGATACACTGAAAAACCAGACAGTACGACTCCAGTAATTGTTTATTGGTAGCCTTTGGTCGAGAAACGTAGTCATCCTGAACGTGTCTCCATTAGTGAATACTCGGACCAGCTATCTGATTAGTGAGATGAGGGACAGTGAGAATACAGTAGCAACATATCACAAATGACTTGGCCACAACAACGACAAATTAGCCATTTATCGCCATTCGCCACTAGCAGCTTCAACAAATGTTGTAGCTAGCGATGGACCTTTAAAACCGTGTTTTCACATCATATGTGAGACGAGAAAGCGACTCATGCCATAACAATCATCAAAACCAAACTAATCGTCTAAACTTACACCAAATCTACGAACTAGCATACTAATAGCATCCCAATTTACATCTGCAAAACTCATTCTTAATGTATATTTGACGACCAACCGTTAAAAAAACAGCAAAATCAAAATCCATTTTGGTCCATCGCAATATCTAACCATTTTAATTCGTAGTTTTATATATATATATATATATAATTTTGACAACTAAATGGTGGTTTTACGATTTCAACATATATCGCTTACCCATGCACCACGTACTCTGCGTGACGCTTCACATAAATGGTTAATCTGTTTTAAGCTGAAAATACACGATTACCCAAATTTATCTTACGTTATTAGATATCTAACTTTTACTCCCTCCGTTTTATATTAAGTGTCGTTGTAGAGAATTTTTTGTGTTACAAAATAAGTGTCGTTTTCGGTTTTCAATGCAAAATTTATTAATTTTATTATGTAATTTATTTTTCTATTGGTTAAAATATGGTTAGGTGTATGGGTAATTGTGTTTTTATATAGAAAATATGTAAAATTAATTGTTTCCTTAATCCGTGTGCATAGCTGTAAAGTGACACTTATATTGAAACAGAGGGAGTATGAACTAACTAATCATGAGATTAAATAGACTTATTAGCGAGAAGAGAAGTTCAATCGGACTACCTAAGCTGACATAGGAAAAACAAAATAAAAAAAGTAAATAAAATTGTTTTCAAACAGACAAAAAGAGAAAAACTCCAAATACTTTTGGGAATTAGGAATTATAGTAACTCTTACTGAGTCCCATTAAACGAAGGTATTGGATTGTGCACTATATAACTTTCTTATTAATCGCTTAGTAAGTTTTCGGAGAAAGTAGTTTTAATTACCCAATATCGACACTTCAACCACTGATCCTAGAAACCCTAAATTCAAGGTATGTTCTTAACCAAGATCTGTGATAGCCTTTTTCAATAACTCATTTACGTATCGTCACGCTAGTTAATAACAAAATTTTGGACTTTATTAGAATATAGTTTTTTTTCTTCCTACGGGTAATTCATGCGATGTAAAACTTTGAAAATATTTCATAGCATCTATGAATCTAAACATTCGAATAAGATTTTTGATGTATTTCACATCTTATATATTAAATATCAACAATCACTTAATTTGTATAAAAGTTCTGATTATCAATATCAAACTTGTTGGTATTTATCTATCTCAATATGAAATAAAATATCATAATATGTTTGAAAGTTAGACACACAAAAAGATCTAACACAACAAAAAAGAAAGTAACAAAACGTCTCAACGATTGGACTTAAATTAGGGATTTAAATGACCAATTAAGAAGAGGATTAATATAAGTTTAGGAGTGAGGAAAATCGCAATGAAAGACAGCTACGCACGAGCGTTGGGGGCTTGAAAGAGACACCTAGTCCTTTTTTAATGGGGAACACACTCTTTCACTTGTTGTCCACTTGTTTTTCAATTTTTCATACTTATTTTGTTTCTCACGTTTTTTATTTTTATTTTATTTCAGTCTCTTCCAGCAGCCCACCAGGTGTAACTTGGCACACATTAAGCTTGGCTTACCTTTAACCAGGTGTTGTTATTTTTATATATTTATTTATATTGAAGGATACATATTTTCAGTCATATTTTCGGGGAGTTTTATTTTCCCTATATCATGAAACTTTAGTATTGGTCATATTAGTATTGTTTATGTTTTAAAAATAGATAAAATAAATATCAACTATAACTCACAAGTCCTTATAGTTGTTTATGCTAAATAAAATTAGTTTTACACATATTAAATAAATATTTTGTTTATATGGCATTGTCATCAGGACTGATCTCTTATCAACAATTATCTTCTCATAGAACTAGCTCAAGAAACTAATCAATTTAATATAAGATTACTATAACTGATTTAAATACTGTTGAGAATTCCACTGAGCATATATTTTGGCAGCCAGTTTCAATCTATACTATATAAAAGTTGAGGCTATAAGCCATTGAGGACGTCCACATAGGATTTAAGTCCTCCAATCGTATAATAACACATCATTATATTAGTTTATTATTTTTATAAAATGTCATTGTTTCCAAATTATATTAAAAACGAAATTAATATGCCATATATAACTTAGATAACAAAATAAATACTAACATTTAAAAAATTGCTTAAAAATGTTAACTGTTATAAAAAAATGGAAAGCAAAAATAAAAACGTAATATTAAAAAAAAATTATTGTCTTTTTAGATATACTAAATGTAAAGTATCATTTTTATAAAATGTCAATGTTTCCAAATTATATTAAAAACGAAATTAATATTCCATATATAATTTAACTAAAAAAATAAATATTAAAATTTTACAACTTACTTAAAAATGTTAACTGTTATAAAAAATGGAAAAAAAATATTGACAAAACATTATTGTCTTTTTATATATACTAAATATAAAGTATATTTTATACAAAAATAAAATAATAATCTAATAGTAAAATAGTAAAGTAACAAAAATCATCTTACAAAAATAAAATAAATTTAATTTTTTTTAAATATCACTGTTTCCAAATTAGTTTAATTAAAAAAAATATATATTATCTAATAAACTAGGTTATTAGTATAGATTATTAGTTTTAAAATGTTAAGATTTCCAAATTTATATGTTAGGATTTCCAAATTTCTCTATATTAACATTAAATAGAATAAAGCAAATTATTAATATAAATTATTAGTTTTTAAATTGTCAAGATTTCCAAATTTAAATGTTTGGATTTCTAAAGTTTTGTATATTAACATAAAATAGAATAAAGCAGGTTA